TGAACGTCTGTATATATGTTTCTACCGATTCTGTAATTGTCTTGTTTGGGTTGTAACAATATTTTGTCCGAACAGAGGCCAGTGTCAGAATTTGTTCATCGCAATCGTATTCAAGTATGACCCTTTACGTTGATGTGAGCATTTACATCTATTAATATATTGTCTTGTAACATAACTTTTCTTAATCAAGTTCTCGTGGGCTCGATTGACAGTGTCTATAAAGCAAATTTACGATTTTTTCATATTATTGTTGTTTCTTATAGCACAATTATCTAATTTTATGCATTTCTGTTGAAGCTAACTTTATGGATCTGCATATAATGTTTGAGATTCAGTCATTGTTAATTTTATAATAGAAAAACTCTTTATCTTTTCCCTCTTTTTTGGGTCCAAGAAATGATGTTAATTTACTGTCATTTGACTATTTTGTACTTTATGTTTGCGTGTGAAAAGGCGAAAGTAAAATAGTGGCATGTTTACATTGGTTGAATAAAAAAAATATAAGAATAAAGCTAAATAAAAAAAAATCACGTGGCATGGATTCTCAAAATGGAGAGAATCTCTCCATTTTGAGAAAATAGAGAAGCAAGGAGATAAATTATCCTTGCTGCATGGAGAATCTCTCTCCATGCAGCACGGAGAGTTAATTTTTTTTCTTTTTTAATAGTGGGTTTGTTTTTCATTTTGGTTTTTATTTGTACTGTTCATATAAACAGTACATGCATGTTCATTTTTTTTGAGTGGGTATTCTTTTACTGTTCATATGAACCGCGCTTCCCAATGTTGCCCCGAAACATTTAGCAACTTATAAGAAAATTTTATGTAACGAATGCTTGACATAAATATCTTTTTTATACATATGCTATTACTTAGTCAACTACATCATAGAAGACATGTGCTTCTCACTAGTAATATTATAAAACCAAAATAAAAATGATTTTTACTATAGTAGAAAACTCATAATTAATTTTTACAACACATGAATATTAGGGTGTTTGGTGTAAATTAAAATCGGATTTTAAATTAAAATCTGGCCCAAAATGTCGTTGTGCAAAACGTCCATAACTTTCATTTTTTTGCATTTTCACATCTACTTTCCACCTTTCATTGCGCAAAACGTCAATTTCACATATTTTTAACATAAAATGACTAATATACTCTTCTATATAAATAAAACAAAAAAGAAAAATAAAGAATAAATTGCAATCTTACTCCTAAACTTTTTTAAAAAATGCAAATGAGTACAAAATTTATGAAAATATTAAAAAAAAAAAAAAAATTCTTTCTCTCTTCTCCTTTTCCTCCC